ATAATGTTTATTGCTGTTAACATGCTTAGAATTGTGCATTTACAGAAGTCAAATAAGGAAAACATATTATTTAAATAGCACTTAAATCACAAATTTCGAATTCATAGACACTAGAAAAGGCTTTCTGTAAAAGGAAAGTCTTTAATTTATATTTCAATGTAACTATGTCTAAGTTTCTTACTCTCAATGGTAATAGATTGAAGATCTTATAAGACACAGCCTGCTTTCTGTTTTTTAGGTAGGACTGAATTAGAGATACACTGCTCGGATTAAATTTATAAATTAAATCAAGTTTCTTTATCAGAATTTTATGTGGAACGCTATCGAATGCTCGAGTGAGATCAATAAATACAGACATCGAATGAAGACCACTTTCAAAACACTCCAAAGAGTATTTTACAAGGTGACTAACAGCGTCTGACGTACTTTTGTTCGATCTAAAACCAAACTGCTTAGAATGGAAGATACAATTCCCTTCAAAATATCTCATAATTTGTTTAAACATCACTAGTTCAAATATTTTCGATATTATCGGTAGCACTGAAATAGCACGGTAGTTTTCAGGTTTAGTTATATCCCCTTTTTTATATACCGGGACAACTAGAGCCGTTTTTAGTAAGTCCGGAAAAGTGCCACTTGTGAGAGATGCATTTACAAGTTTAGTAAGAGGTTTAACAAATGAGCTGGTATTACTTTAGTACTCATTCCATAAATGTCAATACAGGAACTGTTTTTTAAAGATTTGATAATATGTCTAATTTCAAACTCAGAAACTTTTTGAAAACCAAATCCCTCGTTGCACTTGAAAGAGGTAGTAGCTTTACACAAGTCTCCGCCAGAAAGTTGTGGGTTATTAAGATCATGTGCATAAACAAAGTATTTATTGAATTCATCAGGATCAATATTTGGTTATAGGATATAAGAAAGGTCGCTATTGTTTTTTAGTTCCGTAGACTAACGGGCCAAACAGTTACAGCTCAAAAACTGCTCGAACCTTCAAAGAATGGTATCTTTTATAATAA